TACCGAATCTTTCGTACCTCACACCATTGCTGCATGTGGGAAGCGAAAAAGGGGAAGTCGGATATATACCGGCGTATATATCGAAATTCACGGTACTTCCGCAGCAGTTTGCCGTTGAACTTCCGCATGCACGATGTGTTTTTCTACATGAGAACGAATTCTCCAGGGAAAAGACAATCTTGCACAATGCATGCGAGGATATTATGACATCATGTCGGGGGACGAGTGCATTTCCTGTTTAAAAGATTTAACCTTGTATGCAGATTTTGTAACTCAAAAGCGAAATAAGTGCTAACAAACATTAATCGTAGAATGTAAGTGAATCGATTATTATTACTATACATTGATTGTTTCAAGTGCATTTGCGGATTCCATTTTTAACATGTCTATGCGTTTCTTCAATTAAAAAATATAAAATACTAAGCAAGTATATAAAATCAGCATTATCGATTTTGATAGATTAAATTTTCAGCGTTATATAGATATGGTAAAACAAACTTTACATCAAATATCGATTATATTTAATTACGATATATTTAATTCTAAATATTATTAAGAGGATCCTAAAGTGATGGAATTACAGCTCAGAATATTCTCCGAATTGGCTGTACAGATTGTAAAATCCTTTTATACGATTGAAATACGCATCAAAAAGATAAGAGATAGTTGATTTAACGAGAAAATAGAATAAAAATTAAAAAATTACATTTAGTATAACTAATTTTTTAACTTTTTTCTCATTAAATCAACCGTCTCGCATCCTTTTATATTTTAGTATTTTGTTGCATTAATATAATTGTTACTTGCAAACTGTATGGTTGGACACGGAAAAAAGTTTTACTAAAGAATCTAAAAATTTAGTTAGATACGGATCTAAAAATAATTGCTGGGCTATCAAAATAATTATGTAAGACTCTCGAACTGGTTGTTAGAATATCAAAACTTTTTGCAGTATTGTTCATTATGAGATTTCTACGTAATTATTTTGATGATCCAACAAAATTGTTTTCATGTTTGTCTACCCAACTAAATTCTTAGATACTTCTACAAATGAAATTGTTTTTTCCGTGTAAAGAATTAAGGACAACACGAAAAAAAAAAACACGTGATTTTACATTATTAATATAACTAGCTAGTTTTCTATTATAAAATAACTGAATAAAAAATATATACTGAAATGACGTCATATTAGTGAAGTGACATCGTGCAGGCTATAATGCTATTCTACCATTGCGTTGTGTTATATCGACGCTATACATATATAAATCGGATATTCTATACAAATGCGAGCTATTCAGATGAAAAAAAACGAACGTAGCGGAAAATACCATTTTTGCGGTCGCTTTTATTTTCTGTAAATGTCACAGTCTTTTATAGAATGTTGCATGCGACCGGCGCTTATTAAATGTTATCGGGCAAACGTCATTGAAAATAAAATGAACGTACCGCTTCCGCGCCGGAATATATACCACTGGCCTTTTCAAAATAAACAAATATGAGGTGAACCGAGCTCCGGTAGCTTAACAATACAGAGGGTCGACAGATGTGAATAACATTTAACGAAAAATGTCAAGGGGCTAATACACAGCCTAGCAGAAGTGATTACGATACCGTCATATCTAACACGCGCGTACAAGCTTTGATAAATGCCGCTATGTGCTAAAATCGAAATTTTTATATGTTCCACAATCCACATTCCCCCGCGCGCGCGTTCCTCTGCGATTTATTAAATTCACGCTGCTGGCAACCGGTCAAACCGTATACGGAATTGAATGCGCGCGCGTTAATTTTGTTTCGCGTACAAATGGCTTTCCTTTATTTTCACAAATTGCGAATGTACGTATGTACGTACGTATACTTCGACAGTTGGAAAAGGGATTACCCCACATTGTGTGTCAAAATGTTTTATCGATGTCGACAACGGAATTTTTATCAGCATGACTAATGGATTTCGTCTGAAATTTAACTTACGAGAAACATTTTTCGGAAGGATTGCGGAGAAGGATTCCGATAGACATTAGGTCGTTAACAATGGATGCTGTAATATTGTGTGTACTTCAGCTTCGTATTACGTGTGATATTTCGGTTTACCGCAGCATAGTTGATTACCTATCTCGGAATAACTCTGGTTTACCACTGCATAGTTGATTGGCTATATCGAAATAACGCGAGTTTATCAATTCAATGCATTAAAGCAGCACCCGCGTTATATGTCACGTTCGCTAGCATTGTCTAATGTTACGATAAGAAGTTTTCCGAGGCCATTACTATGTCGGCGAATTCATGAACATTCTTCGCACCGGTCCACGACAACATCTGCCAACCATTTCTTCAAGTCATCCATCTACTTTGCACCGCGTTTCACATATTAAACTTCAGTTCACTTTAACAGAAGAAAATCACTAAAAAATCTATGGGCAGCATTCCTCTTTCATATTAAACCGAACGCAAATATTTTATATCTCTTCGCGTACGGAAGCTTACATCCGCAATGTGGAAACGAGATCTCTGAAATTTCTATCGAATGCTCCAAATCTCCCGCGCTACGTTTCACATACGAATTCTTTGATCATTTTAGCGTGTTGAATTGATCTTAATACTTTGAGTGCTAGGATTTTTTTTCTATCGATAGTTTCGATAATTTAATAAATTTTTCCAATATTTTTTCTTAAGAAATTGGTTTTCTTAAGAAATTTAATTTCTATCTTTCAACATGAAGTGCAGAAATACATAAAAGCCATGTTACATTTTATAAAATAACATAAAATGTTCAACAAAAAGATCCGAACGTTTTAGATATATTTAATTAAAAGAGTAACATTTAGAAAGAAAAAAGATGCTCGCAATATAAAATAAAAGTCTAGACTTTGGCAGATCGTATCAATTTATTGTAAATACTATCTGATTGTGCAATAGTGAAAAATGGAATATGCCATTTATTAGCCAATAAACTACATACAATATGGTACATAATAGCAAACAATAGGATTCACATACAGCGCCGTTTGTTTTTTCTAAAAGCAGGGAATATCGTATCATAAGCAAGATATACAATGGACAAAAAATGGCGTACAATGGGGCTTACGTACTCGTCCTGTTTTCCCAGGACGAATTGCACAATACGCAAAAATCCACTAGGTATTTTCCCGACCGTCGGGCGAACGGAAGTATCCAATCACCCGTATTTTGAGCAGAATCCATTGGAGAGCCAGATTCAAAACACCAGGATATAGATTATCGGCGGACGATACTTTTCGATTCCGCGAGGTACGAATGTGATCATAAAATTGGGGTTGCCAATGGGGACACTAGTAACGTGCATTGCATCAATGTAATCTATTGGTATATACACTGCCGCAGATTCAAAGCTAGGCTTTAACTAGTTCTCGGCGCATGATACAGGATTGTAAAATACGATAGTAATTAACAGAATTTGTTAAAATTAAATTATACTTGTAAAGTAACTATGTGTATTTCTAAAAGATACGTTATATACGCGCACCATACAATTCCATAATTTGAGTTTTTTTATAGAGATTATTTCTTATGAAGAGAGAGGATATTATTTTAATGACCGAACAAAACTCGCAATTGGATTATGTATAATAGAGCTCATCTTCTATAATTCTTTTATTTTATGAAAAAGAATATTTAAACCAAAAATTGTACTTAGCTATATCGCTGAAAAATAAGTGCTCATTATAAAGAATCAATGAATAATTGACAAATTAAAGAATAAAAGAATTATAGAAGATGGGTTCTATTATACATAATCCAGTTGCAAGTTTTGTTCGGTCATTAAAATAATATCCTTCATAAGAAATAATCTCTATAAAAAACTCAATAAATTATGGAATTGTATGGCACGCGTATATAAATCGTTAACCAAATAAATAAAAAATTAAAAAATCTAAACTTTTTAAGCAATATTGACATTTTCAGAAATATGCGGTAAGCGCGATCCTTTTCCTTTTTTTTAATTCGAAGTACTATTTTGTAAATCTGTATGTTCGATTTATCCAGACTATCGTGAATTATTTTGCATCCACGTATAAGGGTCCACAGGGAGAACGGTGAAATCATCGGAATCGCACTAGCGACTCGGCACGTATACTTGGCGACGAAAGTTAGAGCGCCGGCGGGTACACCGGGCAAAGGGTGAAAGGATGGGTCAGCCGGCCGGAAGGTAATGGGAGCGTAGGTTATACCCGTGGCCGCTCAATTAAATCTCGTCGACGTCGCGTGCAGGAAAGCGAGCGCAGCGTGCACCGGAGGCTTCCTTACCGATTTCGAGTGGGTGGACCCTGCTCTCAGAATTTATTAGTCCGTGCGACCGACCGACTAATCTCGACTCGGTTAGCTCGAGCGTGTGTTGGTTGATCATAGAATCATCGAGATCAAGTCATGAATCACGAAAAGCACGAAAAAGCAATCATCTTGTCATTATCATATTCCCGCCCAATAATTTTTTCTGTTAAACATCGCACCAACCAAGTTCGGTATAACTATCAACACGTTACAAAGGATATTCTAGACAGTTGCTAACGAGATTGTCTATAGAGATATTGTATACCGAGAAACCTGATCTAATTCTAATCGAACATAATCTAACTTGAACTAAACGGATTTGATCCAATGTGCGCTAATCTTGAATATTCGCTACGTTCGAAGTTTAATTTGAATTATCATTCAAGTTAGCTAGATAAATTGAATACAGTGACGTAATATATAAGTGTTGAGTTAAACTAAAAAAGTTCAGAGAAATATTAAAGTCATAAGTTATATACAAAATTTTCAAAACTTTTCCCATTTTAACGTAATGACATTTATGTTATGTCGCTCGACTTGATTGGACTAAATATAATGATTTGTATACGTTATCGAGAAATTCTCTCGAGTTGTAAACCCGTATCCAAGACAAAAAGGAACTTATAGGACTTATAAGAACAAAAGTTTTTAGGTCGATATGGAACAAATAGAAACAGAATTTTTATAGTTACCTCTTTCAGGCACGGGTTCGCCCATACCCGAAAAGAGCTGGAGTTCGCTTTGCTTTGAGTAGACGCCAGGTATCTCCGCGGTGCAACGTAGATTCAAACGACCGTTCGTGTAATGGAACGGCTGAAGGGTGAGACTGATCTCGCTCCACTGCGTTCCCTCGTCTTCCTTCGTCCGCTGTTGCCTCGTGGTCGCCTCCAACTGCAACAAATCAAGCGTGAGTTGGAGAACGTGTGAACGTCACGAGAAAAGGAATTCGCGAACGTTAAAGGGTAGGCAAGACGGCTAAGGTAAGGGTACCATAGAAAGAGAGAGAAAGAGAGAGAAAGAGGAGGAAATGTAAATCTGCTTTCAACGAAATCCGTTCATCCGGAATCGGAGGGAGGTGAATTCCTGCCCTGTCCCTCCCACCCCGCCTTTTCGTCATCCCGCACGTTCAACGGCGTACCATGCTAAAGACGAGGGTTTCCACTTCGATGGAAAGTTGGAGAACCCGCTAACGTTCCTGCCATCGTGTTCTCCCGATTAATGTCTCTCCATTCTCCTTTTTTTTTTCTTCTTGCATGAAATCGCTTCTCGTCAAGCCGCGGCGGCAAAGAGCGAGCCCGTCGAAAGTATTGGCCGAAATGGCCGAGTTCCGGCTTTCTTAATGGATCATTATCGTCGCGGAAGTCGTGATAGCGTCGAAAGTAAGTTATTCGAGTGAATCGTACGGTAGAGTGATTTGTAAGTGAATTGTAAGAAGTTTGTCTAAACTTTCATCAATGTAGGCGACGACAGATTGATGTAGATTGAGGTGTAGATATAGGTCGTCTCTGATATTACATATGACGTTTTACAAAATATAATCTTTATAAAGCGCGCATTTCATATTAACAAATCGTAATTTATATAGAAAAAGTAAATATCCTTCGAAGTCACATTAGTCACGACTTATAAAATAATTTAGCAATAAAAGCTGATACAATTCTGATAAAATTATTTACTCTCTTATTGAATTATTTTTAAAATTTATTTATTTTCTATTCAAACGTCAGTTGAATCGTAATAATCTTGTGCTTAATAGTTTCTTAAGTGATAATAATCTCAGTAATAACATAATTCTCGATTCAAAGCGTTATATGCGCACCTGATGCCAACATGCTTCTAGAAGATAGTTGTTGCGAAGTTTAACAGCATTCGCGTCGAACCAACGGTAAATTACACAGAACATCTCGTATTATATAGATTATTAAGCCAACAGACGGTAGAATACGTATTAACATTTCAATCTCGAATATTACGTACGTTCGGAATTGCTTGGACATTCGAAATAAAACAATAGATATTTCTGTGCCCTGGGCTTATTCATTTTCTGGTAACACAAGTAGAAAAAGGAATACTTAGAAATGCAAAGACATTTGATTTGACGTAATTACGAGAGTAGTGCAACAGAGAGTTTCCAATTTATCTTCTCAAATAACGATCAGTACTAGGCAATAATGAATTAGATAGAAGATGACTTCTAATCGCGGCCAATCAAGCGAAGCCTAACAAAATTAATTGAGTGAACTTCGTAATAGAGCAACTACAATGTACGAATGATATTATAAAAATATAATAATCTACGATAAAAATATAATAATCCTCCTTAAACTTTAAATTAATTTAACTTTGTTAAAAAGTTTTTCAAAGGCGAGCTAAGTATAAAAGCAGAGACTTCCCACTGTTTCATCATCATATCATAAAGTTCATTTTTCGATTAAATATGCACAGCATGTATAATTTTTTATTACAGTCTATGTCATATTATAAGTAAAAAGTGAATGAAAATCGACGCAAATATTTATATGTATATTGCATTGTTTGTACGTATGTCAAGTTTAATGCTAGTTGCAACAAAGAATATCGGTGAAAACATGCGAGTATTATAGGAACGCTTGCTGACTTCACATTTTCTCAACTGAGGAATTATGCAATTCGCGCGATCCAGTGTGATATATGGCGGAACGCGCAAAAAAGAATCTCGACCAATGATTAATGGCCGAGTAGCATTGATACTTATCCCCCGACGCGCTAAGAGTGCGTCCAGCCGAATATAAATTCCGCTTTTTAAACAGCTACCCGTGAAATTCAATCTCGGAGGGGAGCGAAAGTGATTACAGCGGTTGAATACAGATTATGAGAAGGCGGTCGCTACGTCATATTTAAGCGCTCCGGATTTTCTTTGTAAGCATCCAAAGGAAGGCTATATCTCTTTTCCCACCGGCACACTTTCGTGTCCTGCGCGATGAAAAAATTAAAAAATAAAAAAGAAGACGTTTGAGTATACCTAACGGATCGTGAAATTTTCTATTATGAGATTAAATGCGCTAGTCTTATCGAAGAAAAGATCCACTCTAATATTACGTCGCGTGGCGTAATCAAAGCTTTGATACGACGCCATCTTTTCAATATAAGATCTAATAATATTCTGACGCGAGTTTGAAAGAAAATTTGACTGATCTTGCACAAGGTTGCAAAAAGTGGACGATGTTCCAATTTGTTCTTAAATCAAACTGCATGATTCAACAAACCAATGGTTTGCAAGTTCGTAAAATCTCGCTAAAACTTTTCTCTCGATCTTTTAATTGCTTACTCTCGTCAAAAGTTTCATGGATGCACTTTTTTTAAGCCGCGTACTTTTTTATTTCAAGATTCTTTAGCAAATTTGAAGTTAATTCTTTAACGATCAAGATTTTTTCAGAACTTTTAATTTTCGATACTGTATCTTTTTGATATAGCTAAGTCTCAAATTAATATATAAGTTAATAAAGATATACAAAATTATATAATTACAAGTTTAAAATTATATTAGAATAAGTTTACTTAAAAAATTAAACAGACGTTGTCAGTACATTTGCTTTTTTCGAAGTTTAATTAGAAAAACTCTTTAAGTTCATTAAAATCATAATTCAAGCTAAAACAGGTTTTCTGTATTTATATTTCTTATGAAATTACAGTTTAATAAACACATTCATTGTAATTAGATAATTATAATAATCTTCAAAGATATATTTTATGAAAATAATTTGCTTAAGTATTTAATAAACAAAAATATTTGTAGTAAATAAATGTTGCAAAATATTACCTAGATGGATTTAGAGAAAATAGATATATAAAATTTATCTTATCAAGAATGCGGAGATAGAAACGCTAACGATGTTTACTTCGCATGCTCAACCGCATTCTCTAGAATTCCCGCAGTCCCGCAAAGCCTACATAGGTTAAGATACATGTAACTAACACCACGTGTAATCTAAGTTAAGTAATCAAGTGAGAAATTCGAAACTAAATTAAAGTGAATGTATCTAGAATACTTTTGATAAGATCACGGGGAAATTTACAGTTTACATTAAACAGTAGGTAAACAATTAAGTGAAAATATCGTGACATCAATCATTTTTATTTCCATTCTCTTAAAATAGAATATTTGAAGACATTTGTATAATAATAAATATATTTTGTCACAATGCTCTTTTTGAAATCTTACAAATATAAAATGTTATATCTTAGTTATCTTTTAGATTATAAATGAATCATGGCGAAAGCAAAATTCTCAACAAGATTACAGTTTTATTCAAGAGAGATTTACTTAAAATTGACTAAGAAATACGTTTATTTATTTTTATTCTTGCAGAAGCTTAATTTTACCCCGATCTTTTAATCTTTAATATTAATCTCTAAATTAGATCGCACTTTTTAATCTCAAAAGAGAAATTATTTTCACATTCATCAGATAGAGAGAGAGAGAGAGAGAGAGAGAGAGAGAGAGAGAGAGGAGAGAAAAATACTATTAGACCGTTGATTCAAAGCTTTTTTTGCAGAACAGCTTGCATTTTCTAATTTCATTATTCGTCATCTGAAAATGGAATTCTTTCTTTCCTTGCTTTTCAAGGCGCAGATTACCAGAAATACAGCAGGAAACCCGCTGTGCAGCAGGCCATTACAGAGCTCTGCACGGTGCGAACACGACTGAGATATGAAATCTCAGTAATGCACATTTAATTGCACGTGTAGTACTTGTTGAATCGATGCGCGCATGTATCTGAAAACCAATATATTCGATTGATATCGCGAACGTGAAATCCGATTGATATCGAGGAAATACGACTATCTCCATGGGGACTGAAGCAATGCGAAAATAGATAAAAACATCTTCGATGTACGGGTTAAATGAAATTTTTATAAAAAATTATCTAAAATAGATATATTTTATCCGCTAAACAAAAAAAAGCCTGTTTTTATAGTATCTTTCATATTTTAATCATAAATAAATGTGCGAGAGACTGCATAAGAATATAAATGGCAAAAAAATAACTTTTTGCATAACTCTCTATTGAACGAGATCATAAACAAGATAAAAAGCACACGGATTAAATTCTCATACAGTTTAATTAATTAAAAAAAAATTGTGAAAACATTTGGAATTTTACGCGGCGATCGAAGAGAATTGATGAAAAGTTGGAGAATGTATGACTCACAGAACGACAGAGGCGACGTTGATGACGACGACGACGACGACTGCAATGCAGTTACATGAATGGCTGTTGATGAACGACGTGGTTTTACGGTGTACCGTGATAAGGCAAGAAGTGTGCGTGTACTTATCATAACCATCACCGGTATTATACACCCTATGGCGCACTGCGCCGCGTGTGCGTCGCGTGTCGGGCGGTTTAACCTAAACACCCTGCGCAATGCCCAACAATACACAATACCACGTCGCGCGTGCTTAAATGCGCCTCGAAATCCACTGCAGTTCGAGGCGCATGCATCGCATTTAAGGGCGTAGCCATGCGAAACCTCTGCGACAAGACGCGGATTTATGCACGCGACTATGTCGGCGCGATGTGACGCGAGAACGGGATACTTTTGACCTCGGTTATTCTGTGTGAACCTTACAAGTCTGTCCCAGGCACCTTTGAAGTGTCGCGCGGTTTTCGGTGTAACCGCCCGCTTATGAAATATAACTCTCGACCGCGCTCGCGTAGGTTGACTCATTTACGCCGGGGGCTCGAAATGGGGTATTACGAGAAGTCTCTTGCCCGTTACGCCAGCTGCGTACTACTTCCTCTTTCTTTTCCGGAACAATAGTCCATGATCTTTTGTATCTCGTATATATTCGTTTTAATTAGCGGTAATTTCTTGAATGGCATACCTTCGAAATAATTCCGCACCGT